GTGTGTGTGTGTGTGTGTGTGTGTGTGTGTGTGTGTGTGTACATGTCTCTTCTGGAGATGGTTATCATAGTTTCTGGTTAGTCTCTTGTTAGCCTGGAGCTCACCAATTGAGCTTGGTGGTCAGGTCAGTAGGTCCCAGGATCCTCCATCTTCCCAGTGCTGGGATAACAAGTGTACATCACCACACCTGGTTTTTCACATGAATGCTCAAGACCAAACTCAAGTCCATATGCCTGAGCATCAAGGATTTTACCCCAACCCCTAGAAAGAAATTTTTGTTTTCTTTTGCTTCTTTGTATTAAGAGAAAACTGATTCCCCTCTCTCTCAGAAACCATGGGCTGCATATAATTCCTCATCTAGGGGTAGGGCCTTGTGAAACTTCTCCCACAGTGTTGAGCATTCACAGGTTATTTCACCAAGATCTAGTTGAATGAAATTCTCTCCATCTCAACTACCCATCCTGATAAGAATGCCATTTTCTTTTAATCCAAGGATACCATCTTTTGTGTGCTGCTTTCTTCTGCTGCTCTTGGGAAGAAAAACAAAAGGATCAAGCATCTGATAGATATTTTCCATTCCTTCAATTTAAAATTACCCTAATGCCTCCGTAGTGTATTTGCAGATGGCATCTTCTGCTGCCCTCCAGTAGTATCAGATAGAGGCCAGTACAGGTGCATGTTTGTACATGTTCCTAAGTACAATCAGCAGACATGCCCACATGTGCCCATGAGACCTGTCAATAGCTGGCTTTGAAGCTGACATCATTTTTATCATCTTTCATCAATAGGACTGGATCCCCTCCTCAAGGCATGGGTCCTGCTGGCTTCTGGTTTTAGCCTTACTGGTAGGCAAGAAGGAATGAATCCCATAACATAGGAAGAAAAGTTCCTGATTGTGACTGACAGAGCCAGGTCTGGTCCACCTCCTCTCTTAATAACCACTAGTCAGCAGCCAGGTCCATTGCTCCATTTGCAGAACAAGCTTTCTAGGCTGATCTCACCATGTGCAATAGTAGTAGAGCTATTAGAAGATATTTCAAATAATTTGCACTCCTTTGGATGTAACACAAATACACACATGTAAATTAGCCAGAACATATAGACTATTTGTGAATAGAGGCAGAGGAAGGAGGCAATTGGTCCAACAGTTACTGCAGCAACCATTCCTACCTCCCTCAGCAAAGAGTGCGCACAATTTCCATCACTTTTTTACTCATCTGAATGTCTTACACAAAAGGGAAAATTTAGCTGCCTGAATTATACAGTATTTCCCTTAGCAATCTCTATTTCACATATATAGCAATAATCTCAGTAAAGACATGTCTCAGCATTAGGATATGAGACAATTTACAGAAAATCACAACTTTCCCTTGGCATTAATTTCTAAATAAGACAAATTACTATGCTATGTTCACCCAAATGGAACCTCAGAAGGCCACAAGACCTATCTGGGCTCTAGCTAAGGGATTAAGTGTCAGAGTCTTCCAGAGAGTGTCTCTCTGTGTGTCCAGGGTCTCTTCAGTGCGTGACAGTCTTGGGCTTTCCAAAGGATGCCTACGAAGTGCAACAACTTAGTCCTGTGGGTGCACTGCCCACACACATGCAGCAGGGTCTCAATGAGTTACAATACCTTAGGCTCGGAGAAGCTTTTGGGAATTTCATTGTCATTCTGATTTCTGCAGAGTTTGTGAAAGTTCTTAACCCAATCAAAAGGATGTGAGGATGACAGCCTCGCTTTGCCCATGTAGTTTAAATATTATTTAGAGGGACAAACGGAAGTGGCAGACTTGCTGCATCTTCTCCTTGAAATGATCCTGTCTCTTACGTTTCCAGCCTTTGGTGCATCTATCTGGAACTCTGTCCTCAACTTACAAGACCGATTTAGACTCAACTACTCCTACAACTCAGATAACGTCGCTTTGCATGACAACTCTCTTATCTTCATAACGTGGGTCATTTTAATGTTTAATAGTTACTGGGGATTTTAATTTGAAACTCTTCACTTATCTTATACTTCTACAGTTGCCCGAGTGGAAGACTATGCTCTAACTCATGACTATATGACATCATATACAACTCCCAAGTATAACCTAATTGCCTCGAAAATGTGTTGCTTCTAGAAGCACCTCCTGTTGAAGTGTCTTATGTTCAGAAGACATTGAACAAATGTGACAGTACAAACTTCTACCTACTTTTGCTACTATTCCAGGAGCCATCCACAGCTCCAGGAAGCTGTCAGATTCAGCATTAAGTCTCATGCACTTTGGAATTCAAATGTCTTATAATTTACAGCATAAGACTTAGCATAAACCTTTCCAGTAGCCACAATCTCCCCTTTGGGGCTTAAAAAGACTCTTTACCCAAGCAGATTTACCTAAGGGTAAATTTACCTACCCCTTTAGCTGTTCATCTCAGATCCCAGCCATCAGTTCTGTGTCTGTCACTCCCAGGAGGGCCAGGCTCATGTTAGGGTCATACTAACCTTTGATTTTCAGCAGGGGAAAACAAAACAAAAATAAAATCTATGTGCTTAAAAATCCAGCATATAAGAGAACACACTAGCCTCTTAAAATACAGGACCTACTTTTCTTTTGTAAAGTTTTTGTAAAATTTGATATAATTTGAACTACAGCAAGAACCCAGCATTATTTATGTTCATAATTCCAGACCAGCAAACAATAATTTATGGGCTGGGTGGTGGTGGCTCACACCTTTAATCCCAGCACTCTAGAGTCAGAGGCAGGAAGATCTCTGATCTCTGTGAGTCCGAGACCAGCCTGGTCTACAGAGTGAGTTCCAGGACAGCCAGAGCTGTTACACACAGAAACCCTGTTTCAAAAACAAGCAAACAAACAACAACGACAACAATAATTTGTTTTAGATATTGAAATAAAAGAATGGAACAGAAAAATGCAATAAATTTGAGACCAAAGTTAAAGTTGTAGTTGCTGTGACAAAAAACGTCAAAGCACCATGACTACATATGAGGTTTCAGTTGTTTGTGGTGGGACAATGTCATCACAGACCCATGCAAGCCTGCAATTAAGTATGCACATGCCAATAAGTATATATGCATATATTATATTAAATTGTCATTATTACATTTCAGCTTTACTGAGTTCTTGTGGCACTGATGCCTAAATGCTGATCTGTTAGTTCTCAAAGAATTATTAATGTTTATCGGATCTAAGAAACAAGGGAAGAAAATGGAGAGAGGCAGAGAGAGAGAAAGAGAGAGCATGCATGCTGTGATGAAGCTGTCCTAGTCTTTCTCTCAAAGACCTTTGTCTTCCTCCTATTTTGTAAACTTATCTTTCCTCTTATGAAATGATAGCCAGAGTAGAAAGCAGTTTTGTTTTTCATTGTTCTCTTGGATCTTTCTCTTTTGAAAAGACCCTGTTATATATTTCAGGCTGACTCCAAACATTTCCTCTTCCTGCCTCAGTGTTGCAACAGCTATGCTGACAGGTATGTGCCACTGAGCCTGAAGTGGATTGCTCTTATTTTGCAAAACAAAATGTTGAAATCCTGATTTATTTCCAAATTTGGAAGTGATGTGGATATTTTATTCAACCTTAAAACTTCAGAGATATACAGTTTAGATGAATGTCTCACACTGGTGCCAATAGTTTATAATAATTCTTCTCCATAAATGCTGTTCTACCTTCTGTTCTCACATGGACTCACATTTTCCACATGGAAGTCTTTTCTAGTGACAGTGCCTTTATTCCCTCTAAGATATTTTTTCTTCAGTGTCAGAAATCTTTTATTGTCTTCAACTGTCCCTTTGAGCCAAACCCCAAAATAGATCCTGGGAAGAGGAAAATTTAGTCCTGGAGGAGGAAAAAAAATGCCTTGGAAGAAAATCACATATATAACAGACTGGTATTATTTAAGGAAAGGAATGAAATTCCCTCTAGGTTTTATAAATGTATTAATCTGGGTGACCAAAGGTTTAATTAAGATCAAACAGTTTGTTAATGACACCCAATACTCAACAAATTAAAATGCTTTGCTCTTGAGAATCATACGTAAGACAATGGACAGAAAGAAGATTCAGATAAGCCTAGAAATGGACCCCACAAACATTTTCAGTGTCCAAATTGTCATATATTTCTGTTGCTGCAAAGAGACCAGATGGACTCCCTGCTCCTGAAGAACATGAAATGGTGTAAAAGTAAAATGGCTGAATCAAAACATCACACAGAACTGCAGAAACAGCCATTGCCACTGGAAGAAACCAGAAATGCATGAGAAAGGAAGCAATATTTAGTCTGGGAGAGGGAGAGTAGGCAGAACTTGCCCCAGGAGGGTTAATCATTACCTAAGACATTTGTCGGCTGCTGAGTAAAGCAATGTTTGGGGGAAAACATAATGACCTCAGCTCCAAAGCACTAACTTCAGGAAAGTTTGAGACACCCCGAGAAGACGGCTCAAAAGCAATTATAGCACACGAAATATGATTGTAAAAAAACAAGAGTGAACTAACAAAAGCAGGCTTACACAGTCCATCAGCACAGAGAGTGGAGCTGGAAGAAAACATGCTCACTCTTTACCACATTACAAAATTATTGACATAAAAGGTCAATATGGGATCTGGAGACATGGCTTAGTAGGGAAGAGCCCACGCTGCTCCTGCAGGGGACCTGAGATTGGTTCCCAGCACCTGTGTCAGGTTCCCCAGAACTGCGTGCAATTCCAGTTCCAGGAGAGCTGAGGCCGCCTTCTACCCTCCATGAGCACCTGCCCCCATGTGTACATGCCTACACACAGACATACACAAGTACACCTAATTAAAAATAACATCAGTCTTTTATTGTTGTTGTTAAACTCACAATGAGTTTACTTTGAACTCTGGTCTGAGAGGGTTCTCATGTTTTGAATCCTGGTGCAGAACTCAATTTTCATTGACAGTAACAATGACATGAGAGATAAAACAGAAAGAAGATACCCTGAAACCACGAGTTTTAACAATGTAAGATTGACATAATTCGTGCGCCAACCGGAGGGGCGCCTCCGAGCCCCCGCTTTTTCCTCGGGATTTTTTATTTATTTTTTTTGCTCCCACTGCGGCAGTCTGGTCGGCGCCTGCGCGAAGGACTGAATGGTCTAAGGCCACAGGGAAGGAAGATGGTGGAAAATTCCCCGTCGCCATTGCCCGAAAGAGCGATTTATGGCTTTGTTCTTTTCTTAAGCTCCCAGTTTGGCTTCATACTGTATATTGTATGGGCTTTCATTCCCGAATCTTGGTTAAACTCCCTAGGCTTGACTTACTGGCCTCAGAAATACTGGGCCGTTGCGTTGCCTGTCTACCTTCTTATTGCTGTTGTCTTTGGTTATGTACTCTTGTTTGGAATTAACATGATGAGTACCTCTCCACTCGACTCCATTCATATACGATCACAGATAACTATGCTAAAAATCAACAGTGGAAGAACTACCAAGAAGATGCCATCCCAGCATTAAGAGATGTTCCCATCAGTGAAGTAAACAAGATGTTCTTCCTTGGAGCTCAAGAACTTAACACCCAGAACTGAGCTGTGTGTAAATATCCTAACACCAAGCATGTACAAGTTTGGAGTGAATAACTTTGAAAATAATTATATTGGCTGTCCTTTTAATACCCAATATTGACATGTAAAAACATGAAAGTTGATTTCTTAGATTCAGTTCAAGTAAAATTGTAAATATTTTCAAAAAAAAAAAAAGAATGACATGATTCAACACCCCACTTGCTATTCACGACTCACAGACATGTACAATCAACCAGCAGCCAAGCAGCCAAAAGTTTGCCAGTTTATAAAGAATATTTACCCTAGTTTATGAATACTAGAAAAAACAAACAATATTTGACCAGAATACTTTGACCTCTCACCTTGTAACACTTGATAAGCACTTGGCCATCTATTCCATTCCATGTTAGCAAAGACAGGAAGCTTTTGTTTGGGCCATTCTTCAGTGAAAGCAGTTACTTACCTTATGACAGGCTGTGTCAGCATGGGACATCTCTTAGCATGATCTTCTCTAAGCCCACCAGCTCTAAGTTCCCAGCAACACTCACTCCTAGTGCATAAACTTGGACCTCCTTATCTTGGCCTCCAGCTACCATTAAACATGATGTGATGCAGATAGCAGCAGCTCAACTCTATTTTGTTTAATAAATGCAGCCCAAAATATATAAAAATAAATGCATTTGAGTCAACAATACCTAGCAAAACTGTCAGCCCACATGCTTGGAATGCATGTGTGGAAGTCCCCAGAAGGCACGGATTCCAGAGGAACCTTCCTATAGGTAGTCTCTATTTTATTTTATTTTATTTTTTTAATTTTAACTCGTGTCTCAAAAGTTTCAACCCAGAAGTTTGAAAATAACCTGGATGGTCAATTTAGTTTATAATGACCTCTGATGCTGCACTTAAACTTACCGCACAAAACGCTCTCTCTCTGTCCTGAGGCGTCTATTTTGAGTTTCTTGGCACTATCTTGGCATGCATTAAAACTGGGATTTTTTTTCTTGTAAAGCTTGGAAGAGATGTGGAATAATTTTCTGTTATGCATGCCTGAGAGGCAGAAAAATATTTCAGAAAAAGACAGTTATAGGAAGGATCTGAAATAAGACTGATAGAGAATTTAATTTTAGTGGTATTAATCTATGGAACAAAACGACAAAATGCTGCTTCCATACCTCACCATGTTATCAGTAAACACACCCAGCATCTGTGATCTCTGCGTATCTCAGCTGCTTCTAAAGAGTTCTTATCTACACTCCTGAGTAATTATGAAATATAATTCCAGAGCCTTTCAGATTATGCTGTTTTGTCTCCCCCCTTGGACACCAACAAAATCCAGGAAGAATCCTTTCTAAAAGCACTCTAGTAAGCACCCCAGTAGATTTAATCTATGTACAAAATTACCATAACTATTTTTCTGGCTAGCTTGTTTTACCCATTCATGACCAGAAAATAAGAAGTCTCTACTAAAAAGATAGAGAGCAAAATGTGAAAAAAAAAAAAGAGGGACCCACATTTGAACATACTATTCTCCTGAGCTGTTGGTCAGCCTTTCTCCAGCATCATCTGCCTCTCAGCAAAATATGTCAAGATAGTCTCAGAGAACATTACACTAAAAAATATTGCTTCTATACCTATTGGCATGATACACTGTTTGAGAAGAACATCAGCTGATCCCAGAAGCCTATAGAAACTGTTCAATGAAAAATGATGAAGAGAATCCAATGTGGCAGACCAAGATGATGGCAGTAGTGGGATTGTTTACAGAGGTCCTAGAGCAAATCTGAAGTTTCAGTTTGAAAATGTTTGACCCCTGTAGAGACTCAGTTCTTTAAGGAGCAGGAGTAGTCTTGCCCTTTACAGGAAAATTGGAACAGTCATTTTTGAAATTATGGGATGACCCATTTTAAAGCTAATTGTGAAAACAGGGCCAAAATTTTAAAGGAAATCTCAAAAGAGAGTGGTCTGGTTACCCACAGAATTGGTGTATTTCTTGTTCTCTCTCTTCTTGACTTCTTTGTGCAACAACAAAATAAGGCGGGGAGGGAATCTTTGCCTCATTCGCCTCTGGTCTCAGCATTTGCCTTGCTTCTGTACATGACCGCCTTTGCCACTTAGATCATTAGCTCACTATCAAAGCCTGAGGTGTGTAAGGCTCCAAGAATCTCGTTCTCTTACAACTTTCCACATGAAACCTAACATGTAAAAACAACACATCAGCCCGGTGTGGTGGCACACATCTTTAATTCTAGTACTTCACAGACAAGAAAAGGCAGACAGAGCTCCCTGAGTTCAAAGCCAGGCTGGTCTACATACGTACATGTGTGCATGTGTGCATGTGTGTGTGTGTGTGTGTGTGTGTGTGTGTGTGTGTGTATACATATATATATATATATATATATTTGTGATTGCTGTGTGATAAGAGTATATGTATATAAACATATATACACACTATACACACATACACACACACATACATACATTCTTACTTTGCTCTTGAGACTCTCCTATCTCGAAGACATTATCATGCTTTCTAGATACCAAAAAAAGTTTCAGATTTGGGTATGCTTTTGTCTTTATTCCTTAAAGATGATGCCTCATAAAATTTAACCATTAGCTATTCCCTTCTCTCTGCATATTCTCCTCTAGGTTAGTTTCATTGTCTTATCTGTTCTTAGTTAGAAAAATCTGTATCTTGTCTTTCTCTTTTAAGTCCAGGTCATAGTAGTACTAGCCACTTCCAGATAGCTCCATTTGGTGTTTTGCCAGAACCCCAGACTCATATTCAAAATATAATTTATTACCTTCTCCACAAACTCCTTTCCTTACCTGAATTCCCCACTATATCAATTCAATAATCTCGCACAGTTATTCTATTACTCTCACTGAACAGTTTCAACTGATGTTTCATGTAAATTTCATATCATCATTATTCGTGGACCAGCTCTGTTCTTTGCTTCTAGCTATGTAAATACTACACAGCTTTTGAAGTTCGGGGGCAAAGTTCACATCCTTCTATGACAGAATAACTTCCTTACTTCTCTCTTCTGCCTCCTACATCATTGGCTTGAGAACCCCATGCCCACCCAGTGATAGAAATCATATCCAGGGTTTTTCTCCAGCTAGGCTGCTAGGCAAAAGTGTTCTACCACTGTGCTATACCCCAAGCTTAGTCTACTGTTTTGATCAGCACTTAACAAGTTATTACTTAGGCTTCACTTGTAGTTGCATTGGATTTTCATTTATCTTTGTACATGTTTGTAATTACTCAATTACACTTAAAGAATTCTCATATATTCTATTTATTCAGTCTATCTACTACATATGTATAATGTATTTGGTTTAGTCTTTTTTTTTTTTTTTTGGTTTTTCGAGACAGGGTTTCTCTGTGTAGCTTTGCGCCTTTCCTGGAACTCACTTGGTAGCCCAGGCTGGCCTCAAACTCACAGAGATCTGCCTGGCTCTGCCTCCCGAGTGCTGGGATTAAAGGCGTGTGCCACCACCGCCCGGCTGGTTTAGTCTTTTAAGGGTGTTATGATAAAATAATACTTCTAATAGAAAGTTTTTTCTTATCAATTTAGATGCTTCAAAGGCCAAGGCCAAGATGCAGGTAGATGTCCAGTAAGATGGCTCAGTAGGTAAAGTACCTGATGCCAAGCCTGATGCCCTGACTTCGCTTCATGGGACCCACATAATAGGAGAGAACCATCATGTGCACGTGCACACACAGCCCTCTGGACAGCAAACAAATACACGAATAATAAATAAATACGGCTAGTAGATGTGGTGTCTGATGAGGCCCACTTCACAGTTCATAGACGACTTCTTTCTACCGTAACTTTATCAGGCAGAAAGGAGATAGGGTGCTCAGGCATCTTTTATATAAGCGTTCTGATCTTAGTCACAAGGGTTTTCTTCCTCACGTAATCATTTCACAAAGGCCTCACCTCCTAAACTATCACCTATTTGGATTAAAATTTCAACACATAAATCTGAGGAGAGGTGCTGCAATTCCTAATAATACAGTCAAGTATGAGTTAACAGTGGGATCACTTTCTGAGACATCTGTTGTTGTTTTGCCATGGGATAAACATTATGGAAAATGCTTAACACAAATCAAGGTAGCTGTGATATCACGAGGCTATTGTAACTTTATGAGAATACCATGCCACTCATGGTCTATCATCATCTAAAATGTCATTGTGTAGCACATGACAATACTTATATGCCAAATACAAAGATAGTAGGGAAATATATATAGGGAAATAAACAAATGATATGTCTTTGGGTATAGAGTCAGAAAGGATGTAACAAAGTAACAAGTGTTATGTTTGAAGTATGTGTGGTATGTTTTTGGTCAAAACATTAAAAGTTGTACAAAAAGATGACACTTCAAATTTTTCTTATAGGAATAGTAATAGCTAAAAGGCAAACAATGGCAAAGGGCATTTTATATATAGAAAAGGCAAATAGTCCAGAAAAACAGAGTTTATTTGTAGAAAACAAATAACTATGCCTGGGTCTATTGGGTAGTTACAGGAATTTGGCAAGCCAAGAATCACAGAGGACTTTAAACATCAAGACAAGAACTTGGACTTTATCCTGGGAAGAACTTACACCTTAATGAGTTTTCATAAAGCAAACACACCTGTATAACCAACACTTAGAGAAGCTTCCTCCTGTGGTAGATGCAACCAACACTGAGACCCACAGCTTGACAATTTGCAGAGAGTGAAAGACATTGGAGCACTCAGTCGTAAATGGGACATCTCCATCAGACCCCTCCCCTTAGGGCTCAGGGATCTATGCTGAAGAGGAAGCAAAAAAAACTGTAGGAGCCAGAAGGGATTGATGACTCCAAGGAAACAGTGCCTTCCAGATACAACAGGACTTACACAATTATAATACGCAGGGCCTGTATTTCCCCAGCACTGAGAGGGGGAAATGGGCACTGGCTCCCTCTTCTAACCAACATTCTATCTATCACTTATACTCACTGACAAATGAAAAACTAGTTTTCTCCAAAAGATTCCGACTGTTTATATTAACCATACTTTAGGTTAGATCCTGTGCCCAGGAGTAGTTGGCCAGCACAAGAGAAAGTTGACAGGATTTCTGTAGACTTTTCATCTCATTTTGCTTTGTTTGGACATTTTTTTGTACTATTAGTCTTTTGCTTATA